TTCCCGTTTATGTCCACGGTCCACGTGTAGCATTCTAGAACCCATTTCTTGGAACCCATAGAATCTCTTTGCTACTGGCAAGCGCCTCAAAGGCATCTGAAAACAGATGTGCTGAGAACCGCAAGTTCCGCGGAGAATCTCAGAAGAGGGTTCTCGTTCCGATCTTCATCTTTTTGCAGCGCACATGCTTTTGCGTAAGCAGGTTTAGGCCTGGCAGAATGTGCGTTGCTCCGGCACTGTCAGTCAGAGCCGACAGTTGATTTGTTGAATCGAATCTGAGCCAGAAGCTCGGTTGTAAAGATGCCGGGAAAAAATGAACGCGTCGCTCGGCATCGCCTCTTTTCTGCGCGAGTGCCTGAACATTGTGATCTGCGACCATCCACAGAGAGCAGCAAGCAGTAAGCTCTCATGATTGGAACGCACCAACTGTTTGTGGTAAACTGTGGGAAAAGAAAGGCAGAAGTGGGAGCTGTAGCTTCAGGCTGCAATAATCCATGCATACATATTGATATTATATATATATATATATATGTATATATATATATATATATTATGCATATACTTGGCGGCGGACTAATCAGCGGACAGGTGAATATGTACTGATATGGTTAGAAAACCCTATACGAGGTTGGGATTTTCCTTGTAAAACGAGCGTCACAACGATACACTTTCCACAGCGAGACAGACAGAGGGCATGCTGCAGCCGACAGAGCGAATGAGCCTCCATCCCTCAGCAAGATTGGCTGAAGGTCCACTTTGTTTGAAGTCATCAACGTAGACAACCAGAAAAGTGCCAAGTTTCGGATGGCGAAAACACTGGGCCAGTCCGGGATAGGGACGAATCCAACCTTCTTCAGTTGGGTTTCGCAGTGTTGCTCCCAGAACCCGCCAGCATCCGGGTGTCCATAAAGTGCAAGAAGAGAGGGCAGACGCGGTCTTGCATTCCCTCCCATTCTTTTGGCCATTGGTCACGAGGCAGGCGTATCCACGTCTTCGTCCCGCCAAGCAAGGCTTGAGTATAGGCAGACTGTAGTATTTGGGTTCAAGGTTCAAGAACCAGTCCCCCGAGAATGTTTCATATCCAAAAAAAACCCACCCCCTTCAAAATGGAATTGGGCGAGGGGGGTGACCCCTGGAATTCCATTTAGGGTTCCATTTTCCCTTTTGTGGGGAAGCCAGAATAAATGGAATTGTGGGACCCCCTATCCCCCTCCCTCTTAAGGTAGGGGGGATATCCAAAACGCTGTAAGGCGCAAAACCGCATTCGGGAATATCGAGCATTGGTTCTGTGTTTCTGCAACGGAGGCATGGCTTCATTGAAATATCAAGTTCATCAATACCTGGACTCTCAAACTACCCATAAAAAAGGGCATTCGCAAACCACAAGGTTGCGTTGCTAGAACCCATTGGTTAAGGGAATTTTGAGGATTCAGGCACATTGTTCAGACAAGCTTGTATGAGGTTCGGTCCAAGGGGACGAGCTCTGATTTTCTCACGAAAAACAGGGGACGCGCACTTGTGCCCCCATCTCCTTCACGGGAAACAAGCAAATTTTGACCTGGGCTCATCTATATTTTGCATATAATCAGAGCTCCAAACAGAATGCAACAAGCGGGATCGCGCTTGCACCAACGCCACTCATCCATATGCCTAGCCTCCTCGAACCCATTTGTTTAACACCCATTCAGGGTCACCCAACATGGATTACAAATAATGACATGAATGGCTGTGACTCTGTTAGACTGGTGCATCTTAACAGAGACAATCTGCAAGGAAGTGTGAGAAGCCGGGATTTGCGTGTCTGTCGCCTGCATCCCCTCCAGTGTGATTCCCGAAGAGGATGTCATATGAATCAATATGTTCTTAACAATGACATTATTCAATAGTCATTGATTTGCAGTATCAATTGCTTGCAAGTAGCTTTTGACTCTTATGCATCATAGGTGTCGTTCTTCTTCACCATCAGTGTTGTGAAAATCGGATCAAGCCTGAGGACCACAAACTAAGATTAGAAGATATTAGAAGGATGCTCCGAGCACGCCCCCCACCAACAACTGCATTCCCCATGTCCAAAAGTCCGGCGGGGGTGCTGGTCCGCTTAAGGGGGCTAGAATGCCGCTGAGCACGGTCCTTCGCATTCATCCGACGACCACTGTTTTGTCCCAGGTTTCATCTAATTCTGGGTGTTTTGGGTGGTTTTCCTTGCGGTGTCCCTTTGCAACCATCCCAAAAAGGGCACTCGCACAAAAAGATGCCACAACTGCCAAAACCTACCCTCCTGTCCACGCTGGCATGGAACCCACCAGAGAAATGGTCCCAGCAAAAAGAAGAAACCAGGGCCCCGAAAGGTTCCATTTCAATTTATGGGAGGGTACTGTATTTGACTTTAGAATGGGAAAGGCGGAAATTGGGAACCTCTGGCAATCAAGAACCCCTGCTCAAAAGCTTGACAAGGGAACGGCTGACGTTGCTTTCCGGATTAGCACGGAACTCGCAAATTCCCCTCCCCCCCCCCCCCCACTTTTTGTCCAAGTCCCAGCGCCCTTTGCGCGGCTCAAACGCCGCCGCCGTCTTCCGTCGGTTTCGAGGCTCTGCGGCTCCGGGCTGCGGCGGGAGGAGGCGAAGACGCCGCGCCTGGAGCCGGTGGAGGAGTCCAAGGCCCGGTTTTGAGTTCCTTAGGTTTGTACCTGGAGTTTTGTTGTTGAACCGACCCCCCCCCCCCTCATCGCATCTCATCGCCCTAATCATGACACTCCCCTATCAGTTGACCCTAAAGGGATGCCTAGGTCTCCACGACCCTTTGAAAGTAGGTCCAACCATTGCTTCGGGTAACGACCCCAGTTTTAAAGGGTCATGGAGACACTCTAGGTACATGGCTGCGAAATCCGTTTCGCACCTAAGAAGCCAACCTATAACGTGGTTTGGATTTGGATTCGATGGGTCTGGTGCTTGTGGTGGGTAGATGGGGGTTCCCCCCTCCTGAACCACCACCGGGCTCGCTCCAAATCACCAATTGGAAGGAAGCTGATTATAACTATGGTGAGTTGGGTATAACCAGGCTTGCTAACTACTTACTAGGCCCCCTCTAAGTAAGAAACCATGGCAATGAAAGCATAACACTTGTATGTACAGAGATATAGATATGATCATCATTCTGTTGGTGGATTTCGCAACCATCCACAGTATTGCTAGCAGCCTCCGACTACTGCCTATTGTACGCTGGTTCGAATGTTCCGCAGTTTTCCAAACATATTGTTAAATGTAGGTTGCTTATTTTTTTGGTTTTTATGTCTTTTGGTTTGTAGGTTTTGGTTTAGTCTCACTTCGACAGAAACCGAGCAGCAGCCCAAGCCCTACCTTCCCCCAGAGCGATCGAGTAGGAAGGGTGTCTTGTTGTTGTTGAAGGGAAGTTGTACGTAACCCAATTCTCACTTCCTGAGTTCTGGACTAGAAACACTTTCTGGGAAGATCCTTTGAGTGGTAAATGCAGAGTTTGGACGTGTTTTGGCATATCCACACAGCAAGTGAGCCCCAGGTTGGTAGGTTTTTAGTGGGCTCAGTTTCCGCTTCGACCAAAAGTTGGACTCTGAGGGGATCTGGGAACACCTCTCAGTTGTCCAGTGGCTCCCTTTTTCCCCCTTTTTTTTGGTGGCTTTTTCCCACAAAAATTGTCCAAGCCCAAAAAAGGGTTCCCTTTTTTTCCAGGGTCACCTGAACAACTGAGACCTTTGAGGTCGTCAAAAACTGCTCACCTTTGGCGCATGCCACCTCGTCTTTGGTTTTTCTTGGAGTGGCCAGAGGTGATCGCCTGTTCCGGGCCCAGTTTTGGGGAGCTGAGCTTCGGGGTTTGGACCAGAAAGCGGTGTCCAAGGATGCCGCCAGACTCCAGGTCGAGAAAGAAATCGAAACTTTGCACCCGATGGGTTCGTGGAATTCAAAGAAAACGGTTTTTTTACCTACCTGGAGTCTCCTTCTGACCCTTTAAACAAAAATAGGTCCATGACCCCAGTATTTAGGGTAATGACCAACCAATTTGTTAGGGTCATGGAGACTCCAGGTGCCCATGTGCTACTGTGGATGGTTGCGAAAGCCATTTCACCACGAAAGGATTAGCCATGCTTTGCAATCATGCTTGGTTGATACGTATTTACAGGGGAACCACCAGAGTCCAGGGTTTTGCACGGCTTGTGTGTTTGATGTCGCAACTCCATGGAGTCTCCATGACCCTTTAAAAACGGGGTCATTCAGCGAAATGGGGTCATAGACCTATTTTTGATTAAAGGGTCATGACTCCAGGTAGAGGGTTTCTGAGCGGCGGCGTACGGATTTCGCAACCCGTGGTTGGTCGCAACTTTTTTCCTCCCCAGGCGGAGGAGCCAAGAGTGGAGGAGGCCCAGAAAGAGGTGATCCCCAGCGGCGCCTCGTTTCCCGAAGCTTCGTATTTCGCTCGGGTCACGAACGATTTTCGAATCTTTTTTGCGTGGTTTTTGCTGTTCACCGAAATTTGCCGCCTTTCCCATCCTTGATGCGTGGTTTTTGCTTTTCATCGCCACAATATTTGTTCCTTGGCAAATGAAAATCAAAGACTCAAACCTAGCTCTTGAATGTTGAGCCAGGCCCATGTTTCCTGTTTTTGCTTGGGTTTTGGGCCCATCTGCCATCAGCCTTTGGGCCCATGGCTCGGTGAGTGTCCTTTTGTGGCCGGTGATGTTTTTCTAGGGTTTGATTCCAACCATTAGTAGGGGTTGATTCCCATTTCAAACAATCTAACAGGACATTCTGCAGAAACATATGTCAAGAATCCACTAAAACAAAGGCTTGGGCTAATGTCCTGTACAATTTCCTGTACTTAGTTTCTTAGACGGACCATTCTGTTCAACCAGCGTTCTTTTCTCAAAAACCAGCTGTGTCCCCTGGGTGGTTGATGGTTTCCTGAAAACAAGGATCCCTGCAAAGAATGTGGAAGCTTCCCTTAGAATACTTGCTTCCATTTGGACGGT